AATATTCACTTACTACCAAACTACATTTATTTAATTTCTATACTATCAGACATTCATACATTAGTTTACGCTGGGGCAGTCACAGTAGTAACACACCATGGACTGAAAATACAACCACAGACATATACACACAAAACACAATTCTATCACAAGCCTGCCTGGCAGAGAAGAATAGAAATACAAATAAATGACATTAGACAGCAATTAGGAAGGTTGACACAATACACTAAAAACAACATAACATCCAAATTAAACAAACAACTCAAAAACATTTTCAAGAAAATCACAACACACACAGTACAGAATACATCGATACACTAAAACAGAAACTCGCAACCAAAGCACGTAGACTCAAATGATACAAAACACATACACTACGAAAACAACAAAATAAATTATTTACAAACAATGAAAAACTTTTCTACAGACAAATCAGTACCAAAACAAACACTGATACACAGCACAGTGGCACACCAACAGAAGAACAACTCACAACTTATTGGTCTTCTCTTTGGTCCAATGCTGTTACACACAATGCTGATGCAGGCTGGATCAAGGAGGAGAACAGAAACTTGCACAACATACCAACTATGCCTTGTGCTGAAATAAATGTACACAACATCTGCTATGCTGTTAACAGAACACATAACTGGAGGACACCTGGTGTAGACAACATTCACAATTTCTGGTACAAAAAATTTACATCACTGCATCAGGAACTAGCCAAACATCTAACACATATCATCATCAATCCACAAGACATGCCAAAATTCCTTACTCGGGGCATCACCTACATGAAACCTAAAAACAACAACACCACAGACTCAACACAATACAGACCAATTACATGTCTCCCAACACTCTACAAATTATTGACATTCTGTATCGCAAACAAAATATACAAACATGTTGAAGAACATATCATTCTTATGGAACAACAAAAAGGTTGCCGTAGAAATCACAGGGGATGCAAAGAACAGTTACTCATAGATTCAGTCATTCTACGGCAAGCACACAAACAACACAGAAACATACACATGGCATACATAGACCACAGAAATGCATTTGACAGTGTTTCATACAGTTGGCTGCTACATATGTACAAAATACATCCATCACTCATTGCATTCTTCGAAAACACTATGCAGCACTGGAGAACAACACTACATCTCAGGGTTAGTAACACTTCCATACAAACAAACGAAATATTCATTAGGCGAGGAATTTTTCAAGGAGATTCCTTGAGTCCTCTCTGGTTCTGCCTAGCCCTGAATCCATTATCCAACATGTTAAACAACACGCATTATGGCTACAATATCAGACATGAAAAAACAACACAGTTTACACTGTCACATCTCATGTACATGGACGACATAAAACTTTATGCATCCACACAAAAACAACTTCATCAACTCCTACAAATCACACATTCATACACTAAGGACATACAAATGGAGTTTGGCTTAGACAAATGCAAAAAACTTCACATAGAAAAAGGAATCCTGAAGAAAGAAGATTTTGCACTTGGAAATGGAGATGTTATTGAATCCATGGAAGAGGGTGAGTTCTACAAGTATTTAGGATTCCAACAGGCCAAACTAACAGAACATACACAAATAAAGCAAAGATTAATTAAAGAATACCAAAGTAGGTTAAATGCTATCATCAGAACACAGTTAAATGCAAAGCACACAGTTAAAGCAATAAACACATATGTCAGCAATAAACACTAGTGCTCACATACTCTTTTGGACTCTCATACATTGCACTCACACAGATCTTGAGCAACTCCAAAGGAAAACAAGAACAATGCTTACTAAGCATAAACATCATCATCCTAAATCTGCCACAGAAAGATTAACCCTTCCACATAAAGATGGTGGATGTGGCCTGATTGACATTATAAACCTTCACTTCAAATAAATACAGTCACTGCGAGAGTTTTTCTACAAGAAATGAGAAACATTACAGTTACATAAAGCAATAACTCTAGCAGACTCAAATAACACGTTATTAAACTTACACTCACATCATACAGACATGACACAACATATAAAAAGCATAGACATCATTAAAGCAATCGTGGGCTCGAAAGGCACTCCATGGCAGGCATCCTTATGATCTGGCCCAGGATTTTGTTGACAAAATTATGTCAAACAGCTGGTTAGATCAGGGATTCCTTTGGGGAGACAGAAGGATTCATGATTGCCATATAGGATCAGGTCATAAATACTAAAAATTACAGAAAACACATACTCAAAGATACAACACTCACAAATGACACATGCAGAAAATGTCACATCATGGCAGAAACTATACAACACATTACTTCTGGGTGCAAGCTCTTGTCACAGACAGATTATTTACACAGACATAATCAAGTAGCAAATATAATACACCAAGAGCTTACAAAGAAACACAAATTATTAGATATCCACGAACCATACTACGAATACATTCCACAGACAGTATTGGAAAACATCACACACAAAATGTACTATGACAGAGCCATAATCCCAGATGAAACAATTTACCACAACAGACCAGACATCACACTCATTGACAAGCACAATAAAATCACATACATTATAGACATAGCCATTCCAAACACTCACAATATACAAAACACATTCACTGAAAAAATTAACAAGTACACAGAATTCGCCCAGGAAATAAGGCATCTGTGGAGGATGTAAAGGGTGCTGATTGTACCTGTCGTTTTCTTTTGTACAGGTGTGATACCACACACACTACACAAAAGCCTGGGAACATTACAATTGAATAGAAATACATACATCACACCACAGAAGGCCACTATATTGAATACATGCCATATTAGGAAATTCCTGAATACAGACACTGACACACTTATTTAATTTTAGTTTTTGGTTGTTATGCCTTGACTATGGTCTGGCATAGTACACAGCCACTGGTGTGAACCGAGTAACCCACTAAACCCAACACAATAATAATAATAATAATAATAGCAATCACTGTCAACCGAGTATAACCCACTAAACACAAAATAATAATAATAATGTGGCACAATTGAGAGGATGTTTGATTCTGTCACTTCTATAACAAGTTTTTAAAAATATCTTTCCATAGTGATCACATAATGTTTTATTATTCAATTGGAAGTAACAATCTAATGAGTCCATTATTTAGAAACTGTTATCATTCATCTAAGTAATGTTCATACAATTCATCTTTGTTTTATTAATGTGGAATGAAAAAAGACTAGCTGTTTTGTCAAAACAATGCCTAGGGAAAAGTGTAAGAATAAAATTGGACAGGTAAATTCTTTTGAGCAAGATTAAATAAGAATGTCTTTGTCAAGGGCTGCAAAAAACAGCATCACAACATCAAGCTCGTCTTGAATCTTCTCTCAATTTTTCATTCTTTACTTTCTCATAAAAAATATTTAGTCATGCTTGATGGGAAAATTTCTAGTACTTAACTTTTAATATTTTAGTTTAAAAAATTTTTAATCTTCAATTGAAACAAATAATTAATTTTCTTATAAAATGTGAGTCATTTTTAGAATTGGAAATCATGACAAGATTTGCTTAATTCCTATTAATGGAAAAGACCCAATCTTTCTGATTAATCATCCTATCACTAATATTTATTACAACCAAATAACCAAAGCATAATTTTATGAATTACTGTAGATAAAGATTCTTCTTTCAAATAGTTATCTTTGTTAAAGATGATATATATAATTATCTATTCAAAAAATAGGATCCTAAAAGATACTACTTTTAGTGGGGGGAACTACTTACAAAGTCAACCAAAATCCAGCAATTAAACAGTTGCACAAATGTTCTCATCTACCTTCTAGTAGATATTTTCAGGTGGAATATTACAATTCCACATGAAAATTCTACATTTAGAATCACATGTGTTGCGTAGTAAGTGTGGCACCTGGCTGTTGGTGGATACATATGACATCATAGAATTCATGTCTGATTGAATATCATCAACCAGATCATCAACGTAAAACTTCCAAGCTGAGGGGAACAACTCCACATTCTTGTGGTTGATGGCAAAGTTCTTTATAGAAGCCTTGTAGATCTCATACTTCTCCAGGTATCATAAAAGTATCTTATCGTATGCAGAGTGGATGATCCTGGATAGATGAAAGAAGACCTACACTCCTGAGTTTGAAGCGTAAGATGTGAGGGCAGTCGAAAAATAGCCTTTTTTGATGTTTTCCTGTTGTTCCTTGAAGCATGTTTGTAAGTGTCTGTATGTATCCTCAATGTATGTGAGTGGGTATTGCATCTATGATCATGTAGAGGAACAAAATACATTCCTGGGAGGTGGTGCCAGTTCTTGGTGTCCTTGGCATTGCAAAGGAGAAAAAAGATGGTTGGGCACTGCCTAGATGCCAAACAAAAGCTGGATTTGGCAATTTCTCTGTATGCAAGGGGCCAATGCAACCTCTCTAAAGTTGATGCCTGTGGTGGGTGTGCTTGGTGCAGTGTCAGTGTACAAGTGGGCTTCATAGTGGGAAATGAGGCCTTTTAATAGATTTCAGAACATACTCATGTTCAAGTACCTGCCATAGGATGTAACAACATTCCTTCTCCCTGTCCTGAATATCAGAGCAGTGGGTAAAAACTCTTCAGATCAATGCATTAAATGCTGCCAATTTGTAATGAAAAGGTCATATGAAGGGAGTGTACTATGTGGAATTGTAATATTCCACTTGAGGATATCTACTGGAAGGTAGATGAAAATGTTTGTGCAACTGTTTAATTGCTGGATTTTGGTTGACTTTGTGAGTAGTTATTTTTTGTATATCCAGTGCTGTTGTTACTTGTACTACTATTGGTTTGGATGCTGAAATTTATTGTGATATCAAGAACAAAAATCTTAATCAAAATCAGCTACTAGATTGACATAAATTAAATTTATTCATACATAAACATTTTTATATTTATATTTAATATGTTATCATATGTTATGATATATAATATAAAATATAATAATAGGATGAACATAAAGAAATAACTACTGAAGTACACATGAATGGGATCAAAGGAGGTGGATGTCCTGGGGCTGGAGGTGATACTGCCACATCAGAAGATCAAACGCCACCCCCCTCTCGTACAGTTAATGGAGATGGACGAGTTGCATTAAATGCTGGAGATAATACTTCTGATAGTGCCACGTCAGGTGTTGGTGATTGTAAAAATGATGAGAAAAAGGTAATTATTTTAATTCTTCTGTTTAAATTTTTATATTTCTAATTTCTTATTAAGAATTTCCTGCTTAAACTGCTTAGTCATTCAACACAAAATAAAATGTATGAATAAGCAATTTACTTATTAAAACATACCACATAAAACGTGATTTCTGTCAAAGGACATGGTGGTATTTAAAAATATACATTATGTAAAACTGTTGAAGCTTACAATTGTGTTCAAAATGAAACACAATTTCAAATGTAACAGAAAATGTAGTGGCAATCACAGAAGAAGCATTATTATAAAGAATTGAAAATTTGCTTTTTAAAAGAGAGAGGCAGATGGAGCCTATTACGCTTGAAAAATTTTTTCGTATAACTCATTAATTGGTGACACTTTTAAACCCAGCAAAATTTTTAGTTTGGTATTTTGTTGAAATTATGAACAGATTTTTTGTTCATAATTTGTATAAATTCTTTTACGCTTTTTATGTGCATGTGTGTGTACACATTGAACCTCACTAATCTGGGATTTACCAATCCAGAAGCTGTTTCAGGACAATGATTTGAGACACTGATTTAAAGGCAGTCATTAGTTTGCATGATTGCTGCTTGACTAGCTGTGTACTGTTGCCATTGTGAAAAATTGAAATTATTTGAAGATAAAATTCACTAACCTTATGTAAGTCTTGTACATAAGTGAGAAATCTGTTATTAATTTTTTTGTCTACATCTAAGACCTTCTTCAGGTAGATTTTTCCAAAATTGAACCTTTCTAATCTACAATGCTAGTATCAGAATGTGTGGAAGAATTTCCAATGTATTTGAATTCAAACATTTTTCTCTTTACGTTTTTTTTTTTTCTAAATATCCAATGGAGTTTGTCTATTTCCAGTCTATGACCAGTTTTTTTTGATTTATGCCTTCTTATTAAAAGATTAATTTTATGAAATTTTGTTCTGAATGTCAGTGTCCAAACCTATCTGCAATTATATAATGTAAAAGCTTAGAGAAGTTAAATTCTGACAATAAAATGGAAAAAAGAAAATATGTCAAAGTCTGTTTATATTGTTACCCCTTCCTTCATATTTTTATTTCTTAATTTTTTTGGTCCATATGAAAAATAGCCAATTTGTGATTTTTCTAAATACTTACACTGAAACAAGTTAGCAGGTTTTCTGAGAATATTGGAAGTTATATCAACTTTTTCTCGAGGTTAGAAAATATGCAATTCTATCTCAAACTATCTATAAATCAGATAATTTGCAATGTTGCAGCTGTGACATTATCAGTGTCTCATATTGTTTGCATCTGCAACTACTTACTTATGGTGGTTGTTGCTTCTAAACAGGTACAGATATTACCATATTACATTTTTTATTCTACTGATTTAGAAAATCTGCTACTCTAGTGTGTCTGGTCTCAAGCTTTGCCATATCAGTGAAATTCAATATATACTAACAAGAATTTATAAGGTAGAGAGCAAGTTGCAAGTCCCATTTCATTCCAAAAGTACTTACTGAATATACATTAATTTTATTAATATACTTGCATAGGAAGTCGTGCATGGAGAATTGGATGGAACTTTTTTGTTGTCCTTTATTATTTTCAAGGTCACTTAAAAACAAAATCATTTTTTACTCTTCGTGAATGTAAAGTTTACTTTTTAAAATATTAATACCTTGAACATCTGTTTTCACAATGCTGATTAAGAATCCAGCAAGTGGTTTTAGACTAATTAAATGAAACTTTTTAATTTTGTTATTGAAATTTTATGTTACTTGTTGAAAAGTTACAACATAAATGTTTTTGAAAATCATTTCTAATGTCAACAAAAAAGATTCCATCTATTTCTCCATATGTGACTTCTTACATTAATTTTGTTAATGTAGTTATCTATCTTCAGTATGTAAATAAATCACATCACCAACATTAAAACTCCAAAACCTTTAAACGTCCAGTAGTAATCAATTTATGTAATACATACAATTATATAACTATATATAAATAAATACACCAAACGGGGATGTGGTCTTTAATTGCTTGAGTGGGCGTCGCCCGTTACCTCATAGCAATATTTCCAAGCATGGGACACATTGACCGCATCATTAGCGTTAATGCAATTGGTGCGTAACCCGGCTTTGTAAATTTCCAGTGCCTCCAGATTTCGTAGGTGTTCCACCCGGTGAGAAAGTTTGATCAGTTTGGCCTCATGTAGGTCAGCTCTTATGCCGGGTTCAGTGGCATATGTTGATAGGGCGGTGGTGTGCCTTTTATTAACGATGTCGTATTTGTGTTCCTGCAATCTTTTATTCAAAGAGCGTTTTGTGGACCCAATATAAACTAATTCCCTTTGAAACCTGTTGTCCCATAGAGGGACCATGTAAACACCCGGTGCTTGCTTGCTATTTATCTTGTCTTTGCCACTGCGGAGTAGTCCATATACAGTGCTTGGCCTCTTGTATGTAATTTTAGTATTAGTATGGGAGGCAATCTCCCTATAAATGGAGTTGATGTGGTGGTTGTACTCAACCACCACACAAGGCTGTATGCTACCTATGTTTTGCGTTCCATGGGTCGCTACCCGTATGTTAGAAGTGTAGCTTGCAGCCATTCGAGAGGAGTATGCGCTGGAAAGGTTGTTTACTAGGCTCCTGCTATATCTGTGCTGTAATGCTATGTTCTGGATTCGTACTAACTCCTTCTCAGTGTCTTCAGCTCTAGTATGGTGTGTGAAAGCCCGTTTTATTAGGGCACGGCATAAGAGCTGACCTACATGAGGCCAAACTGATTAAACTGTCTCACCGTGTAGAACACCTACGAAACCTTGAAATTTACAAGGCCGGGTTACACACCAATTGCATTAACTCTAAGGATGCTGGTAATTTGTCACACGCTTGGAAATACTGCTATGAAGGAACAGGCAACGACCACAATAGTAGTTAGAAGCCATACCCCTATTTTGTGTATTTATTTATGTCACTATAGGAGCATATGTAGCACATTTATGTCATTATATGTAAGTCAACGTATGTAGCACATATATGTCATTATAGGAACGTATTTTCATATTTAACATGTCGTTGCCATGGCAATGCACATGCATAACTTTTTATTCTTTTAAATTACGTTGGTAAAGTTCCATTTTTTGAAAATAATTTCAGAATTTTTGTTCTATGCATTCACATGTTCGAATATAACTGGTTTTTTAAACCTGAAGAAGACCGAATGTACGGTTGAAAACGTTAGTTTGCTATTAAATGTTTATTACTGGAGTTATAAGGTTTAGGAGTGTTAATTTATA